AGGGCGATGGGGAGGAGGAGGAGGAGGACGACTTTGGTGGAATTTAGTGATGGTATTTGTGTTGGAGCTTTTTCTTTATGTCTGGCTGCACATGTATGTGTGTTTGTGTATCGTTGTACTAAGTAATGAGGGTGAAATTGAAATCTAAACAAATATAAATACATACGCATACATTAACAGCCTACACCACTACATACATACAATTAAGGCAAACATTGTTGGCAAATTTTTGCCAGAATTTCAGTGTTGTTGTGTATTCTGGGTGAATTATCCTGCCAAGCAGAGGGGAGCACAACTGCGTGTTTTTGCGAATGTTTAAAGATGCAAATACTTATACACTGAAGCTAACTCATACATAAACATTGGTAGGCATAAATGTGAACCTCACATAATCGCCGAAATACAAAAAACCAACAACATGTTGGGGTTCAGTTGGTCCTAGTGAGCCGTACATTGGAGGAGGCCGGCAATTCATGTCAATAATAAGCAAACCTGCTAACAAATGTATGCACACACACTCACACTCTCACACACAACGATATATATGAATATTTATGCATGTAAATTTTTTCAAGTCGTAATGATAACCCACAATTCACTCATGCCCAGGCAAATATGTATGAGCTTATTTACACATTCAGCCACACACGTCGGTAGACTGTCGTCTGAATTGGACATTAATGCATTTTGACAAGAGTCCGCCAAGCAGAAAAATACTTTGGCTATGTTTAAAGGAAGTATCCTTGATGGAACACACCACATACTTACATCCATATGTATATGAATAGAATGATAGGAAGAAAGGAAAATCCTTTATTCATAACAGATCAAAGATTAGTTTAATGAAACTTTAGTTTTATGCTAATCCATGCCAAGATATTTATTCGAATACAGTAGATAAGTGAAATATACCCATCATCAGGGCGGAAGTGTGGATATTCTTATTTTGATAGTATTTATGTATGTTATGTATATAATTTATCTAAACATTATTATTAATATAAACATTTCTACATTTTTTCATCATGTGTATGCGTATATTAATTTATATTCCCCCCTTATTACAGAACAACTTCATATGTTGGGAAAATACATTAAATGTAGCTGGCGGTGTTCAATTAAATGTAACAATTAATTAATGCCTTACTGACAGTAAAAATAATTATGTTTCCATATTTCGGACAATTAATATTGTGTGTGTGTGAGTGAGTGAGTCTTACAGAAAATAATACCCTCTAATGTGAACGCACATGTTCCGCTTAGATTCATTTATATCACAATTCAAATATATATTATCCGCCCATTATTAATGGATTTTCAACATAAAATTACGTTAAGTAGTTTATGTTTTTTTTCTAAAATTATGGATTATAAGGGATTTCGATAATTAACAGGGGTGGTAGTGGACTTGTTTAGTCACCGATACAAAAATTAGGGATATATATATATATATATATATACATTTATGGAAGATATAACTTTATCCTTGGGTTAGAAATACATATATATATATATATATATATATATATATTTCTATATACATCTGCGGGAAAAATAATAAGAACGGATAAAATAAATGAACAGTCAATAAAGTTAGATTAAAAAAACCCTATGTTCTCACAATTAAAATTTAATAGGAAAATTCATTTCTATAAAATGAAAATTGATATTATTGATTTCACAGTCACTTAGGTCGGTTAATTCGATTATAGAATTAGGATTATAAAAATGAGTGAAATGCGATTATAGAAATCAGTGAAATCTGAAATGCCAATTCGGTTTAGATGGCTATTCCAAAACGTGGTCTTATATATCACTTTTTCAATATCAAATATTCTTGTTGTAGTTGAAACGTTTTTATAAAGCTTGTGTAACAAATATTTGGAGCTCGATCGTAACTTTTAACAGATCGGATGACCTAACTATATAAGCATATAATCTTACTCTGATCTGGAATTTATAGCAATGAATATTTCAATATCAAATATTCTTGTTGTAGTTGAAACGTTTTTATAAAGCTTGTGTAACAAATATTTGGAGCTCGATCGTAACTTTTATCAGATCGGATGACCTAACTATATAAGCATATAATCTTACTCTGATCTGGAATTTATAGCAATGAATATTTCTAGGGGTTGCAAAGTGTGCACCGATGTAGCTCCCATTTCAATCGCTCTTACCCGCAGAACAAGATTGACCTATCTCTATTCTTTAGTATACACTATAAAGGATATGTTATATTTTTCCCTGACTTGCAAACGAAAAAAAAACAATGTGATGTACCCTACAAACAAATAATCGGATATTAATATTTCGAAAATAATTTGAACTAATTTTTAAAATACAGTTTTTCCAATTTTCTCTCGGAAACCTAAACAAATAATTTATAAGCGAAAAAAATATTTCCCATTACTATTTGTGATAATTATTCAAATCATCTTAAAATATCGCTGATGTCAATTGGTTATACTTCCCCATTCCACGTTTATTTGCCAACCACATACACACACACTTATATACATTTGTAACTATGAATGCAATTGGAAATAAAGAAAAGCCGTTTATCTTGTTGGTAGTATCTTTAAACTTGGTCGCCTTAATTGCTGAGGTTAGATTCTAATCTCGTTCAGTCTACCGGCAGCGGCATCAGTAAATGAAAATAAAAAATAAAGAAAAGAAACTAAGAAACGGGAAACACATTTAAGTAAATCGCTTTGAAATATGCAATGCAAGCATAAAATGCACATTAATAAAGCAAATGGCTCCATCCCCCATCCCCCATGCCCAGCCCTGTCACGCCACACAATTTCTATTAAGGACAAATAATAAACTAAATTTTCATTTACTGGGGCTCGCTGTTAGAAGCTGTAAAAGAACACCCAACGACTGTTATCTCTTGAACACAAAAAACGAAATGAAATGAGCACCAGCAGAAACATAAAAAGCGATTTAGCTAACACACAAATAGATGGCAAACACAAATAAAAAAGCAAAAGTGGAACATGCCTTAAGTGTATTGAAAAGTATGTCCGCTTTCCTCCCTGACGTTTGTTCTTTTTTTGTTTTGGATGCTGAAAATTAAATAGCGATATATGAGTTGAAATCTCCCAAAGGGAATTAAATATAACTGCTCATTCGCTTGTAACCCAATCCTATTTCTTTACAGGATAACTTTGGCAGAGAGCTATTCGAAATGTATGTGTGTGTTTGTGTGTAAGAGTGCGTGGTGGCACAGCTCCTTAGCCGGTTTACGCGGCTTGAATAAAAAGAGTTAAAGTTCAAATGTTCAAGTGAAGTACAAAAGGATAAAAAAACCAAATTCCGCTTCAATATACACCGTTCTTGCTGCTGCGACTGCGGCAGCTACTGCGAAGTTCTCAAAACGTATTGTATGGCGTTTTAAGTGGAAATGTTCTTTTGGTGTTTTCCGCTACGTTTATTCGTTCGTTGGTTGTTTGAGGTAAGCAACAAAAAAATAAAAAAGGATGCATTGCATACAAAAAACCGAAGCTTGTTGTTCACAATGTTGTTTAAGTATGTGGTGTGCGTGTGCCAGTGAGTCGATTTGCCGGGAAATATAATATTGACGTATAAATATTTGCTGGTCTATTGAGCAGGCGACGCGCAGTGTGAGTGTATCTATCGCAGCCTTGTACACTCATTCATTCATCCGAACACATGCAAGTAGTCATAAAAGTAATCGCCTTTGGCACGTTTTCAAGTTTACAGATCTCAAGTAACAGCCAGGAAGTATAACCCGAAGACCAGCACAGCACACACACACAACATAACCAACACTGGTGCGCTCAGATATGAAGAGAAAACAGAATCATTTAAACACCGGCACGTGTTGAAAATTTAAATATTTTTATTTGAAAACAGCTTAACAGAGGCAACAGAAACAACAGCAACAACAAGCCCTTAAGACTTCCAGCATCAGTATTTGCCGGATATTAGTGTTTTGTTGTGCAAAACAAAACCCGGAGAAGCCAACCAATATAATCAAGGAGTACAAATCTTGCCCAGTAACCCAACGACCTCAATAAAACAATAAAAACAAATGAAAACGAAAAAATGAGTATTTTAAATAGTTTCTATAATAAAAAATAAAATAAAACACGTCAAATCAAAGATGTGCTTTAATTTTTTGCCCAAAAGCAAAAAGCTGAAATGGTGTTGTATGCTAAGGAAACCATTGGGGGTTGGCGTAGTCTGGCCTCCCGCCAACTCAATTTAACCAGTTATCTCCAATGCCTATGGCATACAATGGGGGACATTTTTGAAAAAAAAGTTTAATATCTACAAGGGATTATCACTGCGTTCAGGCAGCCGTAGTATTACCACAAGCAATGGGAATGGAATGGGGAAATTTTACTCCCATTCACTTGAATTTTGAATCGGATTCTGTTTTAAAAAGTAGATAATATGTTCATGGAACTACTCCAAGAATATGGACAAAATCAGAACGTTGAACAATAAATTCTTATATATTTTAAATTCCACGTATGACTTGGGTGGAAGTCTTATGCGGTAAACCGGAAGTTCGCCAAGGCTAACTCCTCCTCCCCATATCTCCTTCCGAATTTTACACTAGTCGAACATTGGGTAATAACATAGATGATATATGTGAAAGTTTAAACGTCTTAAATCTAACCTGCAGTTCTGAAATTCTTTGAACTGCATTATCCTTCACGATGTCTATAGCCACACAGTTCATGGACGAAGTTTCCTTTAAACATTTTAACTGATGACGATAATATTCCGGCCAACAAATACAAGATATTGTGTTTAATATTTGAATATATATATATATATTCTCATTTATTGCACATTTCAAATATCCCCCACTGTGCCCTAACATTTCATTGTTTATCAGTTAAAATATTTTATAATTGCTTTTTTTTCCGTTCCCCCTTTCTTCTTTGTATAACCTACCCCCCATTCATACAATGCAAAAAAAAAAAAACAGAAATCCATCTTCATATAATCTTGGTACATACCTGGGTTAGCTGCGACGAAGCATAATACGATATTCTCGAGGGACACACCGATTCTGGTTTAGAATAAATTGTCTCTGCTATCTGATCGCCCATGGGCAGTAAAGCTGTTGCATATGGTGATGGTGTTGGTGAGCTGCGAAACTCTATCAGAAAGTCAAATAAAAACAAAAAGAAAACGAGAAAGAGAACGCACGAACGTTAATAAATACAAACATCATCGTGTCAACATTGGTAGTAGAAGTTCCTCTCATCGCTCTAATATTTCTGTTTCTGTTATATCAACAGGATGATGATGATAATAATAATAGCCCCTGAAGAGCAAAACAAAGATTTGCATGTTTATTTGTATGTGTGTGTATGCGTGTGCGTGTTTTTGCTAGTGAGGAACAAATACAAATAGACATTAACTTACTTTCAAATATGTTGCAGGACTTCTTAGTCTCCAGGGGATACTTATTGAGACTGGCAATGGTGGCATAGGAACCGCTGTTCGCACTGGGTGGCCTTCCCAAGGGATCCAGACGTATGAAAACATTTTGATGGCTACCATAAGCGGCTGTCGTAAAACTGGTGCTAAACAAAACAAACAGAAGAAATAATCAGGATTAATTACGTCAATTAATCAGAGGCTAAGGCTTTGCTACACAGAACCATTTAAAGCAGGTTAACTACCGGGATGTTTGTCTGATGGGATGTTTTCTTGTTTGTTGGCAATAACAACGGTAATAAGATGTTACTCTAAATGACTAAATTGCTATTCTGTGGCATCCAAAAAACATAATTTATTTAACTGTCAAACAAAGATGATGGAGTTATATGCCGGCACTGAGGCTGGTCTTTGCGCCAAAGAAAGCTATGCTGCTTTAAGACAAATTGCCAAAATTTATGGTTTAAGGTCTTAGTTTTGTGAGGTCTATTAAATATTTGCGCCAAATTTTTAGATGACGAAATGCCATATTATGGCTCGTGTTCTTATTATTATTATACGGATTAGTGTTTTATTTCATAATTTATTTTGTAATTATTTTTTTTTTTACATCATCATAATTTTATAAGGCATTTTAATTCTTTGAATTTTTTTATTAGGACATTTTGGGATTTTGAAAAAAAGTAGTAATTGTCGTAAAAATATTGTTATGATTTTTAAATTAAAAAAAAACACAAATCATTATAATAATATTAATATTTTGGCATGATTAGCATTGGTTCTTTTTGTAAATATAATGTATGAAATTTTGATATTGTAGACCCTAATATATTCTGATTCTCAAAAAAATTGACGTTTTTACAATTTGGAACAATGGTACATTACAAGTATCTGTTAAAAATGTATGATGACATTTTATTATTTTAGTTAAAATGCGGTTGAACCTGTTCATTATAAGAAATGTCTTAAAATTTTGTAAAAATCAGCTACATCAAAAGTCGGAAATCAGTCGGAAAAGCCTTCCACTTTTGCCGATGTAGTTTAGAACTCGATATCATTTCTATAGTAGTCTCCTACACTATCTTGTATAATATGCAAAATATGAAGTGCTAAGTTGGACTTTCATCTTAACATAGCACACAGAAAAATATATATCGATAAATAGGAGGCGTACATTGCACGCTTTATAGAAATATATTACACCTCCTATTCATTTATATTCCCCAAATCTAATAGCGTTTAACACCTGCCGATTCTTATTGAATTTATCCCTCCCAAAATATATTCTATTCAATTTTCCAATATTATTTTTTTTTTGAGTTTCCTCCTTTTTCCTACAAAATGCACATTACTGTTATTTTATTTTCTTTGCATACTTACTGCAGTGAATCCTGGCGTATTTGTTTGCGTGCCCTCAAATACATTGTGCTGGCTATCAGGCCCACAACCAGCACTAAACCCAAGGCACAGGCTGCTGCACCCAACAGTGCAGGACCCTGAGAGGGAGCATGAGCAGGAGCCGGTGATTGATTGGGAGCTGGAAATAGACCTTGAATTGAATAGAAGAAACGCATATTATTGGACAAAGCGATGGGATGGGATGCAAAAACACATGATTTATTCCTCGTCTACGTCTTGCGTTCGTCGGCGTTCGTCATCTGCCACTGATGCCAGCATGAAATGGTGGTGAGAAATAAAAATTGCAAAAACCATGGGAGGCACTTACCTTTGATACAGATTTTATCCCGCTTAAAATGTAATTTGGTATCATTATGGCGTGGCGGTCCCCGCACCAGCATATTTATGCTGAGTGGGACCTGTTCGCTGATATTGCCGCTACAGGGTAAATGCACTAAAAACGTTTCCACCTGCTGTGGCACATAACCTTTCTCGGGTATGCTGAGGGTGGGTGTAGCCAATGCCTCCTGATCATGGTCATAATCGATGGTAATTGCATATGGCAGCTATGTATGATGGAGCAAACGGGCATATGGAATCCGGGCCGGGAACCAGTGGAGCAGAGGGGGAGAAAATAAATAGAAAAAAAATTGGTGGTTAATGGAGTGCAAATTGGTTTTTGAGTGGTTAGTTGGTTGGATGGTTGTTTGCTTGCTTCCAAGCTAAGGGCAACATTAAACGCGTAGCAGTAGCAGCAGTATCCAAAACACCCACCAAATTCACTTGGACGGACAGTCAAATAGACAGAAATTTATAATAAAGCCACACAAAAAGTGCGCTCCTTGCACAAACACATGAAAATGGACAAGGCGATAGATAGAGCAGACAGCCAAAGGTCTGCTCACACACTCACCCAGGCTGGCAGCCACCCAGCCAGTCAGGCAGTCACTCCGTCACAAATGTTTACACTTACATTGGCACATTAACTCTAAAATATCGAGTAACACAACCACACATTATCAGCGTATGGCGTAGTGTGACGTAGGTGGATATGATGAGTGGGTGGGGTGAGGACGAGGTGTCGTTCACAATAAGGTGTGATGAGTTGTTCGTGAATTGAGGCAATAGTGTTGAGGGTGGTTGGTAGGATGGGATGAATTGGCGTGTTTGGTGTGTGTGAGTGCATAGTGTTTGCGGTAAGAGTTTAAATGTTTTGTGCGGTTAATATTTGTTTGTCAGCTGGATTGCTGGCTGGCAATCTGGCTTAAGTATTTCGGTTAGAATAAAAGTGTGTGGATGGGTGTGTGTATGGTTGTGTGGGAGAGTGTATTTGATAAATGTTCTTATTATAAAAACTTACCGGATAAGCTGTAAGACTTTGCCATGAGAATTCGAGGTCATGTACATCTGCCGGCACCGGCACGGTAAAGTGCATTGCGTATGTGTTTATTGTTCCCTCGTGTACATAGAATAAATCCGCTTCCAATTCTGCCATTTATAAAGTGTTGGACAAATCACACATTCGCGACACCATTCCACCCAAGTTGTCGTCGTAGAAGTTGTTTGAGAATGTTTCGCAGTAGTAGTTGTTGTTGTTTATGTTTCGAATGATATTATTTTCACACCAAATGTTACATTGTTGTTATTTCCGTCGTTATTGTTGTAGTTGTTGTTGTTTTTTTTGGCATAAAGTTTGGTAGTTTATGTTGTTTCCAAACACGAAAGGAACATTACAGGCAGGGCCATGTTTTCCAACCATGTTGACACACACGAGCACACGTGTACAATAAGCCACAACAATGTAATATCAGGCAGCCAACAAAAGATGATATCAATGAGTTGAAGTTCCCATGTAAAGTCGCGAATGTCGCGTCGTGTGTTGCAGAGGTCGGAAATGTGGTGGTAGTACCAGCATCAAGCAGCAACAGCGGCATCAAACCAATAATGAAAAGAAAGACAAAATATATAAATATAAACAAACAACTCACATAAATCTGTTGCCTGGTTTTTGGCTTTCTTTTATTGTAATTTGCGGATCCCTGCACTTCTTATGTTTTTTTTTTGTAGTTGTGAGAGAATGGTGTAGTTCTATCAATTCACCAAAAAAGTTGTTCCTTTCTAGAACTGTAGACTGTATGGAGATGCAACGAGGTATTTCGTTTGTCGGTATTCTTTCATCTAGTGAACAGTGGTTATGGTATAAACCCATAGGTTGTTTTGCAGAAAAAAACTTGCAGTCATTAGAAGTTGAATTAAATTTTGTATTCTTATAATGTGTTTAATATATTTTTTTATCTAAAATTCTGAGGATCTTCCCTAAGAATAATTTCGCTTTACCCGATTTTTGTACACGTATAAAAAATTCAGTTTAAAATTAGAATAATAATAAAAAATAAGTGCTTGTGAAATACTCGCATATATAAATAGACTAAGTGGATCATCGACATTTGTTGGAAATGTGTAGCGATATTTTAAAGATTCGAATTAGTTTTTTTCCTTCTATGTTTGTGATATAATTGTTATATTTCAAATAGGGAGTCGCTATAACTTTTCACTGCAGACGTATGAATTTATCCTCGTTGACATACATTTCCTTCAGAAGTTCTCAACTGTGATCGTAAATTCTTGTCGCTTATATCGACAAGTTCGCTGTCTATAAACTTTTGGCCAGATATGTATACTATATACTTCTCTTTGAAAATTTAATGATATAAATTGTTTTTAGTACTTAATAAGTAAATAGAATTTAATATCGGCGGGTCGAAATTTTAAAACCCTCTACCAATAGGTGGGCTCTCAAAAGTTCTTCAGGTTAGAAAATAATTCTATATTGAAAGTTTCGGCGAAAAGTCTTCCATTCCGCAAGAAATCTGAATGCTAGCTGATTTAAAAAACTATGCTGCAATGGCGTTCTTCACACTCCAAGAGATGGGTATGCCAAATTTGCAGACTCTTTAGTTAGGTAACAGGGTATATACCAAATTGATAGTTTCTTGAATCTAAGTATAACAATACACAACATCTGCAGTAATAAGGTAGGCTATTGTACAGATAATTGCAAATTTAGAAAACTATATCAAATTATGAAATTATTTTTTACTTCGTATATTTGGATAATGATTTTTTTCTTATAAATCTTATCCTTATTCAGGATAAATGAAAATTTATTACATTTCTCAAAATACACTGTAACCTGCGTTTGTAAAAATACTGATTCAATTAAAATTGTTCTATTTTTCTTAATATAAACTCTGTATATATTTTGATATGTGTTTTAATTGAGATCGATACCTCAACATAATTATTGAAAAAAAAAACATCGAAGAAAAGAAAAGAAACAAAAGAATAACAATAAAACTAATGTGGTCATAAACTTAATTAATTCACATCTAAATGTGCCCAAAACAATAAAACCTAATGGACAGTGTCGAACTATTGAAGGACACCATTAAAAGGGCTTGGAAATGGATATGTTGCATGATATTTCCACAGATGTTGTGTCATCGAGATATGACTTCGGCGGACAACAGATGACACTTTGTGTGGCAAATGGCTACAAAAAATCTACCACCACCACCCCCTTCTTACCTTATGTAATTCGCTAACAATTTAATACTACTTCCTGAAATATGTTTATTTATTCCCGAAGTTCCTTGTCAAATGACAGAGAGAGAGATAACTATTAACACTTGTTTAACTTGACTCAACCACTGTAGTTTTTATCGAGTTCCCCTTTATGGCTGCGTACGACACACACACTGTACACCTCCCACACACCCTTAACCCCCCCATAAATACAAGGTGGTGACTCTATTGCATCAATTCTGCAAGGATGAATGGCTGACTCGGAGAATGAATTACTCTGTGTACTTCCTTGTAAAAAGATACAAGAGGAGTAACAACGACTGAATCCTAAATCAATTTTCGCTTTGTATAAAAAGGACTAAACTAAATAGAAATTAACTGTTTACTCTGTTTATTGTTGTTGTCTCGCATTCGTGCTCGAGGGCTCATGCTTGTTTGGCACTCTGCAGCAAACGGCAAAGAGGAAATGTTTTGTGTTTTTGTTGTCATCCCAACTGGATGTACGGAAGCTTTAAATGAAATTCTTGAGAGATTTAATGTTTCCTTTCTCCAACTACGCCAGTTCCTTTTCATTCTTCTTCTTCTTCGTCTATTGTTCATGTACGTGTTGTTATCTGTTTCTTGGTGTTGTTGTTGTTAGTAAAAATGTGTGGCGAAAGTTGGAAGCAGTGAATAGAAAAAAGAAAATATTGTGTGTGGCGACAAATAAAAGTCACATAACACTACCATCACCAAGAATTATGGCCAGTGCTAAAAACGGAAGCCAATAGTAAACAATGAACGGAGAATTTTTGGGGCAATACCCTCCTAATGTCATAGGTGTATTTTAGAGGAAGGAATAACCCACAAATATTGAAAGAAAAAAAAATACTTTGATTGACCAAATTGTTACAATTGAACAATAAATCAAGTTTGATGAACTGCGAACAATGTCCGGCAGATGATCATTAGTCACTTCGTAGCAAATCTATCTTAAATAAACAGAATAGTTGAGAAATTATATTATTAATTGTCTAGAGGTTTCTTTTTTGTGTTTTCATTTGGGAAACTCTATTGAGGGCGATAAAATAAGAAATCGTTTGTCATTTCAGTGGTGCGAAGATAAATTTGAATGATTTATGGGAAATCGATAGGCAATTTTGTTTAAGTGAGGCTGAGAAGAAAAATGAGAAATGATAGAGAATTTGATACGTGGAAATGGAAAATAGGGAATATTAGCACTTAAGTTTTGGTCTTTAGCGCTAAAAACAAAATAGTTGATGCGGTACGAAGATAATATTTGTTGTGGATTCATTAACATTTACACAAAAATATTATGGAGAAGATTGGTATTTTTTTGGAATAAAATAACTTTAATATTAGACCTACTCCTATGGGTGTATGCAATTGTATTTAGAGAGATTTTAAGGGTTAGAACCAGCAAAACTTTGATCTTTAAAAAATAAATTTATATTTTAGGATTAGAATTACGGCTTCGCTTTCATTTTTAACCGCACATCATTCTCTTTGTGACATTATCAAGATTAAAGAATTGCTCATTTGTCTACAATGAAGACGTGAGACACATTAATTTTGCTCTATGTCGCAAAGTGTGGCAAGGTTTCTGTAAAACCTATACATTGTGAAATAAATGTTTTATAAATCTTAGATGCATTGTGATTTATATGCGTTTGCTTACAATAAACGACAACAAAGTTCTCAAACAGATGTTATAATTTGTTGGAAGGAACAAAAAATCCATGTGGACGAAGTAGTGGGCTTAAATTTGGTCAAAATAAATATGATGAAATGTTTATAATAATAACGTCATATTTATAGTAATAACGGCATAACCGTTGGTGATACCTTTCGAATATCCTCTTTCGTCGGACTTGTTTTTCCAATGAAACTTGAAATATTTTCACATAAAAAAGTTAAAAGTTTAAGTAAATCACCCCAGACCGAAGCTAAAACTTCATGTTTAGTTTCGTGAAGATCCATTTTGGGCCAGAGATCCATTTATTTGGGCACAATTAGATCGATCGGTTTATGGTATATACAAATACTAGCTGACTAGCTTAAAATTTTATTTTCATGAATGAAAGATGCACTAAATCGACCTTATTGTTCAAATACCGATTACTGAAACAGAACTGTCGGACGAATTTCAAATTACACACAAAAACACTCCGCACGCCCAATGTTTTATTTAAATAAACTTTGCTAAAAATTGGTGCAATACTTCTTAAGTTACGGTGCTAAAAAACACAACAAAAACTAAAGATTGCGCCATAATGTCCCACGAACTTCAAACTACACAGAAACACTCCTCACGCCCCATAAAGCATGTACATAAAGATTGGTCAAAATAGGTGCAGTAGGTTTTGAGTTAGCGATCACGAATAGCAATATTTATTTGTATACACGATATTACAACTTTTTTTGCTTTCACCATATACAGATATTTCATGAATATATAATAGCCTACATATTTTTGATTATTCCTCAATAGTCCTGACAAAATAGTAAACTATGTTGAGCAGAAAATTAGAAATATCCCATATTCACTTATGAAAATAAATCATTTGTCAAAAACCCAATTGGGTATGAAAAAAATAATTTGAAATAATTAACACAATGCAATTTTCATTCCTTTCATTCTCAAAATAATACTTCATTAGACATGCATACGATGGATGCATTAAAAATGTTTCTTTTCTAAAAATTACCCCTTAATTTGAGATGCAATAAAATAAAACCATCCGGTTTTTGTTCGCTATATTAAACACTTCAATTTGTCTTAACTTTATTCAATTCTAAGCATTTCCGTTGCCAAACAACAAGAACAACATCAACAATACCCCATCCTGTGATACTCTGTATTCGTGGCTCGCTCGAAAACTACCATCTACGACTAAATGAAG